ACACAGCTTACATAGAACGTGAACAAATTGCGAAATTTTGAAAATCATTTTCACATGTGTAGTAAAAACCACTAACGAACCTGCCCAAAGGCAGCAGCCACAGTGACAAACCATATCAATTTCCAAGAGGAGGGAACCACATCGAACGAAAGGGGCCCCTAGAGCTGGAGCTCAACGCCACTTCCTCGACAAACGTAAATAATTAACTGCAAGCAAGAACAATAGTTAAGAAAAATACGCAAGTTTTATAAGAAGTTCCACCGGGACAACGCTGCGCTGTTTAAAAGTATACACAGAGTCGAACATTGTCAAGATTTAAGGTTGTTACGCAACATGCGTTTTTCCTTCACTTTTGTCGACAGTACGACAATTAGATCCACGAGCGATGATTGCACCGTGCGCTGGGCATTACCGGAATGTTTAGACTTTAGAGGCTTCGGTATCCCGATAACGAAAACTCGAATAAGGGCGACTTCGTGACGCCTCGTTACTACTAGCATGAGTAAATACGTATTACTCTCGCTATGTACTCGTGGCACAGCCTCGGTGGCCAACGCATCTGAAAGAGATCAACGTCCTTGACCAATTCTCACCAAATATTTATTCTGCGCTGGAGCACTGACCAACAAATGAAAATATTTGACGAGTTAACGCCCAAAGATAATAGCATAGATAATAAGTTATAGATAGTGCTGGAGTCACTTCGTGTCTGGGCCTTCTCTCCCTCAGTCTTCCTCAGCACTGATGCCACGAGCCCGTCTCCTTCCTGACGCCGTCTTCGATACACGGGCCGAGTTTTTGTTTATTTTAGCTTGTGTGCGCCGCTCTTCCTGAGGACAAAACCCTCCCCATGCAATTAACGTTTGTTTGCACTAGGCCGGGATTGCAACAGCGCTGAAGTGGACCGAGAGGAGATTTATCAATTTTCTCCTCTCTCTTCTCTTTCTATCTCTCTTGGAAGTATTTATTTTTCTGTTTAGATAAGTCGGGTGTTATAGTTTCAGGCGTCGCCAGGGATGGTAGTTAATACGTAGCACAATGACAGGCTAGCAGTAGTGACAGTCGCAGTGTTGACAGTCCGGCGCAGTGCTGATAGTCCGTCGCAGTGCCGACAGTTAGTCGCAGTGTTGACAGTCGTAGGGATGACAGTTGCAGTGCTGACAGTCGCAGTGCTGACAGTCGCAGTGCTGACAGTCGAAGTGCTGACCTCGCCAGGAGACTGGGAGGAAAACAGATTTGATCCGACGAGGTTGAAGATAGATGCAGTTCCTTGCAGTAAGATGCTTCGCCAACCTAAGTGGTTATTGTGTTACATACAATGATCCTTACACATAAGCACGGTATTATTCATTACGCTAATATCCTGGTAAAGAGACGCAGTTTGCGGAGCAAGTTTTTATTTTGAAGACGTTTCGCTCGTTGAGCGAGATATAGCTGTCTTACGAATAACAGGGTCATTAAACAATACATTTATTGAGTTTTTAACAGACTACTTTCGGCTAACGCAGGTGTACGTCGCTCAAGTCCAGCAACACAGTTATAGAGGCTGAAACGTTGTGTAGTTTTAAAAACAGGTTAGATAAATACATGAGTGGGTTTGGGTGGGTGTGAGTTGGACCTGACTAGCTTGTACTACTAGGTCAGATACCCTGTTTCTTCCTTAAGTATATGTGACCTGACCTAACTAGGTTAGGGCATTGGCTTAAGCCGGTAGGAGACTTGGACCTGTCTCGCATGGGCCAGTAGGCCTGATGCAGTGTTCCTTATGTTCTTAACGTGTGTGTGTGTGTGTGTGTGTGTGTGTGTGTGTGTGTGTGTGTGTGTGTGCGCGTGCATATATTTCAAATACGCTCAAATGAATCACAATTGCAATGCAGTATTTGTTAAAAAAATCTCGTTAGAGTATATTGCACCGACGTGAATTGTCAGTGCACAAGGTATTGCAATTTACTTCTTCCGCTTGCTGCAATATAACTTTCATTGTGAAAGCAATTTAGCAAAATTTGAAAGGAAAATCATCTATTCTGATTCACGACTCCAAAAAAAAAAAAAAAAAAAAAAAAAAAAAATTAATGGCTCGTTTCTACATATTAAAATATTTAATCAACGATTAATTTTGGAATGATATGAGATTTTTCTAATTGCTCTTTTTTTCTGATTTGTATAATGAGGTCATGTTTCTCAAACTCACTGACAGTAATTTTCGAAAATAAATAAACACAGTTCGGTCACTAATTTCGATAAAGAATTAAGTGAAACATATTACTGGACTTTTTGTAATGATAAATCACGGTTATAATGAAAATTATTATAGCTACGGTTATAATGAAAATTATTATTATAGCTACGGTTATAATGAAAATTATTGTCATGATAGCTACAGTGATAATTACTTTCCCATCATAGTCACAGTTTTGTTATATTGTTATAGTGATGGTTTCTGTTTATAGTGATGATTACTTTTGTGATGATAATTACGGTTATGATGACAGTTAATGTTGTAATGATTATCACTTGGATACTAGAGTCTTTTATAATGATAGCTACTGCTATAATGGAAGGTTCAGTTATAATGATAGCCAAACCCATAAGGATAGCCGCTGTTATAACGTTAGCCATTGTTATGAGTAGCTGTTTTGACGGGAGTCACTGTTATGACTGTTACAATGATTCACTATTATATCGAGTCACTGTTATGAACCAGTTACAATGAGTTACTGTTATAAATCACTGTAATGAATCATTGTTACAGTGAACTACTTGATTCACGAAATCGCAATAACACGATTGCAAACAAATTACATAACAGGTAAGGTTCAAGCCCATGATCGTGCTGGTGTGGGATTCGTTTGTAAAAACCAGCTTTTGTGATCACTGGAGGGAGAGTAAACAAATCCTTTTTAACTAAGAGCACCCAAGATTAGCAAGTCTATGACGGGCGTTAGGTCAGGATGAATTATGGAAGAAGTGAGTATGTTTAGGTATTTGGGAAAGGATGTGTGGGGAGGAAGATTAGGGGTTCCAGTTGGTAGTGGTTCGTCGGTATGGTCCCGGCCCGGGCCTCCTCCATCAGGTGATCCGGCACTGTCTCCCCAGGTGAGGGAGTGTCGTGCGTCTTCTTTCTTGATGACTTGTGCCGTAGTCTTGCCTTGGGAGGAAGGATTTGAAAAATCGGTGAATAGATAAGGGGAAAGAAGGTAGGCGGTGTTTTGAAGAGTCTGTGGCAAGAAAGAAGTTTGTCATTGGATGTAAAAGAGTAATATTTCGGAGTATTGTGGTTTAATATTTACGCAAGGGTGTGAGACATGGCCTTTTTCGTTGTTCTAGCGAGGCGGCGACTGGAGGCAGTGGAGATGTGGTCCGAGAAAAGTGTGGCATAAATATACAAAGACGAAGGAGTGGAGGAATTAGCTTGGTGGTATGATAGGTTTAATTCATGGGTCAGATGAGAGGTTGCTGACATAGTTTATTAATTTAGACACGATGAGACAAACTAGGTTGTTCAAGAAATGTATAAATTATAGGTGGATGGAAGGTGTAGGGAGCGTCACGTGAAGGGGTTAAGAGGTTATGAAAGAGGTTTTTGGAGGTAAGGATCTGAATATCCTGCAGGCATGTGTGATGAGTGGAGACAGTTTTTTTTTGTGGGGGGGGGGGGATATTATGTGCTGTTGGAGTGTGAGCAAGGTAACATACATGATGGGATCCAGGGAAATTGGTTTGCTGAACTTGCGTTCTGGAGGTCGGAAGTACATCGAAGTGAGGTTGCTGCGGTGTGGTGGGTCATTTGCATTGTGATGTCTTTGTACTTCTTGCAAGACAGCTATTGATTGATTGATGGTGACTGTTTTCTTCTTTCAGCCAACCTACCTTGTTGGGAAACATCTAATTTGTTACCTCTCAAAAGCGATTTCACTTTCAAACATAATGTTAAGATATCCACTGACTTGGACGAGAATTACTTCGTTGAAAGTTTGGAACTGACACAAAGTTTAACTCTAAAAATCTCGTCTTGATGTAATTATATTTAGTGAGCAAATTCCAAATTCAGTATTGTGGTAAGAGTCACGCGCTCCGTGGAACACAGCGCTGCTGTAATTACCTCTTCCAACATCTCATGTGTTCATATACTACCTAATTCAAAATTTTATCTGATTCCGCACGCCTTTTACAGATCCTGCTTGCAGGAAGGTAAGTTCATATCTTTCTCAACATTATTCTTGCGTTTAGTTTTGGCTACTAATCTGTTGGTGTTATTATATCAGAGAGACCCATCAATGCCCACTCTGACACATATTTTTGATTTATTATAGTTTTCCATAACAAGCCAACACGAAATGTTTACTAAAATACTCATTTTGGCGTCTAAACTACGTGAAAAGATTTTCTGGCATCGAAATGATGATTGTTGCTGTTAAAGTTTCTCTAAAAATATTCAGTATTTTATCTATAAAACTTGCGCGCGCGCGCCGCGCGCACACACACACACACACACACACACACACACACACACACACACACAGCACTTGGGAAACAGACAATGTTACAGATACTTTTAACCAAGGTAAGGACCATAACCTTCTATTTCCAATAGTGTTTGTTTGATTTTTGTGGCACATCACATCATGAAAATTATGTGACTTCGGACAAACGGAAAAGTCATCGTCTATATATCTCAGTAAAATCTGCGTTAATAATTTTCAAATTATTCTGTAAAGCAAAATTGGCCAGGATTGGGCCAGTAAATATCCCACACAATAGGTTGCAGGTCACATTAGGTGAGCTCAGTTTTTAATCGCAAATAGAAACTTGAACAGATGAATGATAGGAAAGATAAAAGGGGAATAAAGCAAAGGAAAACTAACATGCTGGGGGTGTACGTGAGCCAAGGGTTGAGCGTCTCCTGTACTCCTGAGCTGAGATAAGATAGCTCAAGTGTGAGAGAGATAAGATCTTATTGGTGTTGAGAGGCGGTGCAACGCTCACAGCCTCACTTGGCTCAGTATCTACCGCGTTGTGTACGGGGAGAGAGCCAGGCATGCGACAGTGCTGGGGGGACCGTCTCAACTCAACCATTTTTCTCTTGCCTGTTGCGCTGGAACACTGAAGTGCTTTCATTTTTTCAGTGTTAAGATATTGTTGTAAATTGTCACTTACTGTGCAAGTGCGCGGTGAAATATATGTTTATGAATATTTTTATCTTACCGTAAGTACATTATAGGCTTGTCTAGGTGCTGTACGGATAAGAATCTGTAGAGATAAGGATTTCCAAAACAGTTCGTTTTATCTTTTTCTTCTTTTATCGTTTTCATACGTGATTATCCGAGTGTCTAAAGAAAGAAACACTTGCCAAAAAAGTTAAGAAATGCGTGTTCAAGAATAAAAATTTTCGAGGCGTTAAAAAAAAAATTCACATATGAGAGTTTCGAACTAATTTGTCTTAAACCATAGCAAGTGACACTTGAACAATCTCCTGAGGTATTTATGTGTGCTCACCTACCTCCAGCCCCTGGCTCAGCCTACCAACTTGCCAGAGTCACTCTCTCCTAGCTTCGTGGACCATACCGTACCTAACCTTAAAACTGTGTATAGAGTCTGCCTCCGTGACTTCTTCATATAGATTATTTCACTTCCCGACCATCCCTATATCCCCATGATTCATATATGTCTATGTTTCACCTGTGTCCCTGTCTCCCTTGGTTCTTCAGTCCTCCAGGGTCGTTAAGTTCAGTTTCTTTAGCTAAGGAATAGTCTCATTGCATACTTGTGCATTTTCTCTCCAATTTGGTTAGATGCTTTCTCAGGTGTGGGTTCCATTCCGGTGCTGCGTACTCTAAGGTGGACCTGACATACAGCACAGTGTATAAAGTACACGGAATGACTCTGTTGAGATTCCTGAAAGCCATTCTCAGATTTGCCAGGCGAGCATTGAGTGTATGTGTGTGTGTGTGTGTGTGTGTGTGTGTGTGTGTGTGTGTGTGTGTGTGTGTGTGTGTGTGTGTGTGTGTAGTTTTGATGTTATAATTCATGCAAAATGCAAAGCTAAAATTTAAATTTTGCATTTACCACATGTGAACAAAAGTAAACAAGAGAAACTATGATTGATTCCTTCCCCCCAAAAATAGAAGTTTCCAAGAGGAAACTTCACAGTCACTTGCAAAATGTGTCAGATAGCCCAGAACGTGGTGGCCTGGGAGGGGAAACGCTAACAGCAACAGCCTGGCGCACCAAGCTGTCAACATGGGAATCTGATCTTTACTATCCATGCCCCATAATGACTTATGATGAATGCGATAATGTAATGAATATGACACCTTAGAGATTATGAAGCCTTAGTGAATATAATGCTACGGTGAATAAGATTCTAAAATGAGTATAATTAGCGTAAAATAGCTGGGAGGCGAATACAATGAAGCTATGATGAGATGTTGTGAATATGATAATATGGTGTATATGATGTAAATGATGCAACTATTATGAGGCTAGAGGGAAAGTGACGCGGTTATGAATATGATATTTGCTGTGACTATCTCAAGATGGGTCAGAATATGATAATTTCACAGAATCCTTTAAGGATGGTGCCTATGTGATGGTAAAGGGCTCGTGATCCAAGGAATTGGAGCTTTAAACTTTTCCCTCAGATCAAATATGATTACGTCCCGTAGGCGCTGTATGCCCTTATGACTTCAGTGCTTCCCAATGAATAATAATGATAATAAAACAGTAAAAATAATAAAATAATAATAATAACAATGTGACCCACGTGCCATAGACCTGATATGCTACGCAACACTTGAAGGAAGAGAGAGTAAACATTGAGCAATCTTTATCGCGAGTAATAAAGAGCAGCTTCACCCCGTCCCACTAATCATAGTACGATCATCACAACACTCACTTAGGTACTAAGTCAAGTGCCTTCTGTCTCCGCTGTGGAGATGCACAACGTAATGGACCTTGAGACTTCCCATATCCTGGGACACTAGCTCGATAGAACGGCCTTATTTTTTCTGTGTGATTAAGGTCCGTCTCATCGTGATCTTGAATTCCCCAAAAGCCAGTGGTAGGTTTCGGCCAATACGACTAGAAGCTCCTCTGAGTTGATTACGCTTCTGATAAATAGCATACCACCACCATGACTTCGTCTACTATTGCCCCTCAAGGAAGGTTCCTTGACGCTGGTGAGGGGCTCTTGATCTAGGGAATTGGATCTGTGCTCCGGTTCCCTGAATTGAGCCTGAATACCTTCCACCCCCACCCCCTACGTGCGCTGTATAATCCTACGGGTTTAGCCCTACCCATGATTATAATAATGATTATTATAATCCTCTCCTATTGTTGACGTGTTGCCCTCTCTGGCCAACCTCTCCTCATAAGGAAACTATACTCACCTAGTTGTGGTTGCAGGGGTCGATTCATAGCTCCTGGCCCCGCTCATAATTAATCTTGGAAGCGTGTGACAAACAACGCCACCACTTAAGAGAGCTAAGATTAGGACGCATTACGTAAATTTGAACGTGGTGCCAAGTTAAGGTCTAAATAAATTTCATAATTCTTAAAATATTTACACTGATTGCTAAAATGTGACTATATCAGGGATTTAACAATCCCTGACTGGTAGTGTACGGGTGTACCTGCAGCCTCAATGACCCTCGTGTAGTTGATAAGCTTGAAACACAAACTATCAATATAAACTCTCAGTGTATATGCTGAATGATACACACCTTTCAGTGTATATACTGACTCATGTACACCCTTCAGTGTATATACTGATTGATACACATCTTTCAGTGTATATACTGACATACACATTTTTCAGTGTATATACTGACTGATACACATTTTTCAGTGTATATACTGACTGATACACACCTTTCAGTGTATATACTGACTGATACACACCTTTTAGTGTATATACTGACTGATACACACATTTAATGTGTATATACTGACTGATACACATTTTTCAGTGTATATACTGACATATACACATTTTTCAGTGTATATACTGACATATACACATTTTTCAGTGTATATACTGACTGATACACACCTTTCAGTGTATATACTGACTGATATACACCTTTCAGTGTATATACTGACTGATATACACCTTTCAGTGTATATACTGACTGACACACACGTTTCAGTGTATATACTGACTGATACACACCTTTCAGTGTATATACTGACTGTACACACCTTTCAGTGTATATACTGACTGATACACACCTTTCAGTGTATATACTGACTGATACACACCTTTCAGTGTATATACTGACTGATACACACCTTTCAGTGTATATACTGACTGATACACACCTTTCAGTGTATATACTGACTGATACACACCTTTCAGTGTATATACTGACTGATACACACCTTTCAGTGTATATACTGACTGATACACACCTTTCAGTGTATATACTGACTGATACACACCTTTCAGTGTATATACTGACTGATACACACCTTTCAGTGTATATACTGACTGATACACACCTTTCAGCGTATATACTGACTGATACACACCTTTCAGCGTATATACTGACTGATACACACCTTTCAGCGTATATACTGACTGATACACACCTTTCAGCGTATATACTGACTGATGCACACCTTTCAGCGTATATACTGACTGATGCACACCTTTCAGCGTATATACTGACTGATGCACACCTTTCAGCATATATACTGACTGATGCACACCTTTCAGCGTATATACTGACTGATGCACACCTTTCAGCGTATATACTGACTGATGCACACCTTTCAGCGTATATACTGACTGATGCACACCTTTCAGTGTATATACTGACTGATGCACACCTTTCAGTGTATATACTGACTGATGCACACCTTTCAGTGTATATACTGACTGATGCACACCTTTCAGTGTATATACTGACTGATGCACACCTTTCAGTGTATATACTGACTGATGCACACCTTTCAGTGTATATACTGACTGATGCACACCTTTCAGTGTATATACTGACTGATGCACACCTTTCAGTGTATATACTGACTGATGCACACCTTTCAGTGTATATACTGACTGATGCACACCTTTCAGTGTATATACTGACTGATGCACACCTTTCAGTGTATATACTGACTGATACACACCTTTCAGTGTATATACTGACTGATACACACCTTTCAGTGTATATACTGACTGATACACACCTTTCAGTGTATATACTGACTGATACACACCTTTCAGTGTATATACTGACTGATACACACCTTTCAGTGTATATACTGACTGATACACACCTTTCAGTGTATATACTGACTGATACACACCTTTCAGTGTATATACTGACTGATACACACCTTTCAGTGTATATACTGACTGATACACACCTTTCAGTGTATATACTGACTGATACACACCTTTCAGTGTATATACTGACTGATACACACCTTTCAGTGTATATACTGACTGATACACACCTTTCAGTGTATATACTGACTGATACACACCTTTCAGTGTATATACTGACTGATACACACCTTTCAGTGTATATACTGACTGATGCACACCTTTCAGTGTATATACTGACTGATGCACACCTTTCAGTGTATATACTGACTGATACACACCTTTCAGTGTATATACTGACTGATACACACCTTTCAGTGTATATACTGACTGATACACACCTTTCAGTGTATATACTGACTGATACACACCTTTCAGTGTATATACTGACTGATACACACCTTTCAGTGTATATACTGACTGATACACACCTTTCAGTGTATATACTCGACTCTACAGTTTTGTATACGGCTAATCTTTTTCCTTTTAATTACACCTGAACATTTACGCAACTAGTAAAATATTACCTCTCTGATAAAATATTTACCCTGCAGGAAAAACATTTACCCGCAGGTAAAACATTTAAACATAACTGCATGTTTTAGGAATGCCAATTATGTTGCAATAAACACTAACTAGCAACTAACTCCACCTCGGCAAACTTTACGTAAAGCAATATATATTTTGAGTGTGGTCATCCAGGCTTTCTAAGAAATTTGAATAACTATATTTAGACGTTTCACAAATAGGTGGCAGGGGTGGGGAGGGTGTGAGTATTTAGGTGACACTCAAAAAAAAAAAGGCACTTTTAATTTTAGAAGATAAGATAAGATAAGATTTCGTTCGGATCTTTAACCCCGGAGGGTTAGCCACCCAGGATAACCCAAGAAAGTCAGTGCGTCATCGAGGACTGTCTAACTTATTTCCATTGGGGTCCTTAATCTTGTCCCCCAGGATGTGACCCACACCAGTCGACTAACACCCAGGTACCTATTTGCTGCTAGGTGAACAGGACAACAGGTGTAAGGAAACGTGTCGAAATGTTTCCACCCGCCGGGAATCGAACCCGGGCCCTCCGTGTGTGAAGCGGGAGCTTTAGCCACCAGGCCACCGGGCCACCCCAAGAAAGCTTGTGAATTTAGCTTATAGAGCAACGATAGCCTTTCAAACGAGATAAAATTCCTTGTTGCAATAACTCCATTAATATCAGTCTGAGGTTCACTAGATTAATAAATTTCTACTGATATGTAAGTGGAACTAAATATATGTAGGCTGAACTAAGATAGATTCTCTTTAAAGAATTTAAAACTACATTTCACTTGGAGACCAAACATAATCCTTAGTTCCAGGACTAAAGCTATTTTTACTACTGCACCAGTAAGTATGGAAACCGTGACAAATCATTACGTAGTGTGTGATGCCACTTATGTTTTTTACGGTGAGGTGCGCATGGACTTCGCTGTCGGGGCGGCCTGAGACACGCACCTCAAACACTGAGACGCTGGGCACGTAACTAAACAGCATACTCAGACCCAAATCATTAGCATCAAGTAACTCTGCAGGCGGCAAGGACGTCTGTTTATCTCTTGACATGGCTCTCGTGATAATGCATATAGGAAAATCAAGTAGGATATTCCGTACAAGTTTGTGTGCATCATCAACTAAACACTGCTGCACGAAACAGACAACACATCTTAAACAGACGTAAAATTTAAGGCAGCAATAATACCACAAAAAACAAGAAGCCCAGTAAGTAAATTGAAAGTATCACAGTATAGACGCATTGATGATTGAGACACATGTGGGACTCTTAGATAACTTCATAGTCGACAGTAAAGATTGTGCTGCATTTGGGTCTTATTCATCAGATTCGAAGGAAAATGAAATAGCACCAACAGCAGTAGGAGCAAGGAAGGCTGGAGCAACAAAATCTTCAGCAGCAGTGGGAGAAATACTGACAGCACCAGCAACAGTAGTGGCAGCCGCAACAACAGCTCTTCGTTTTTATTGAATAGACTGGAAGGCTAGCTAGGACTCAGTAAAATAAGCCACAGCTCCACTGAAGGTCCTGTTAAACAAAATACCACACTGCAGCAAAACATCGGCAATAGCAGTCACAGCAGCATCAGCAACAGGCACACCAGCAGTATCAGCCACAGCCGGATCAAGAGCAGCAGCAGCCACAGCAGTACCAATAGCAGCATCTGGATCAACAACAACGGAGGATGGGGAGGTCGTGGCGCCTGAACACTCGACGGTATTTGCCTTGATAAGATAACCAGGTGAATGCCTGGCCTGCCTGGTCTGCCTGGCCTGCCTGGCCTGCCTGGCCTGCCTGGCCTGCCTGGCCTGCCTGTGATGGTCTGTGTCACTTCCTTCACCATCACTCCCACAACACACCATGAGCGCCAGTGACCTTTCATCCCCCTGGGAGGGAGCGAGGAAAAGACGCCATCAGCCTTTCAGTCCTCTGACGTAATGGAAGGAAGGGAGGGAAGCAAGAAGAGACGCCCGTGATCTCTCATCCCCCTACAGGGAAAAGAGAAAGGGACGCCAGTGGCCTCTCATCCCCTGGAGGGGAAAGAGGCAGGGACGTGCGCGCCTGTCATCTACCCGGAGGAAAGGAGGAATAGAGGCAAGGAAAGGGAAACGAAAAGAAAAAGCAGGTGGGAGAGGTAGTAATGAGAACTCATTACCCTGGAAGGGTGGGAGGCAAGGTCGGTAGTGCAAATGCATGTGACCCTAATGAAGGGAAAACATTAGTTTATGCCAGTCCCACGTAGGAAGAGCCACATACGTTGCCTCTAGAGTATAATCATGATAGCCTTAGGTACATGTGTGATAACAAACTAGAATCCAACGAAGGTGTTTTTCGGGTATATTAAGGGACTAACATTTCCAGTTCGTGGTTATTACATATTTCTTTGTTTTCCATGTTATAAGTAAGTATCTAGGTACAGGTGCACATAAGTTCACTTTTCATACGCAGCAACATTCGTGTAAATTACCTAGGATAACTCAAAAAAGTCAAAGTGACTTATTTCCACTGAGGTCCTAGTATAACATTTATCGACTTCGCTACGAATAGGAGAGAGAGAGAGAGAGAGAGAGAGAGAGAGAGAGAGAGAGAGAGAGAGAGAGAGAGAGAGAGAGAGAGACAGAGAAAGTTTATTCAGGTATACATAAATACAGTTACACAGATTATCATACATAGCAGCATACGTGTAGAGAACCTAGGATAACCCAAAAAAGTCAGAGTGACTTATTTCCATTGAGAGAGACATACATTCATACACACTTATATCCTTATGTCTCTCAGTTTGTGGTTCGTCCGAGTGTCTACAGAATTTTCGTTCTGCCTCCTTGTGCTTGACCTGTGTCTGCGTGTCTTTCTCTTCCACCCAACATGTTACCTCAGCTCTGCTTGGCTCTTTTGTCCTGGGATCGAGGCATCAAATCCTTTGTGCTGCTGCATGTCAAACTTTTAAATTTATGTAAATGGTCACGACTTGTAGCTCCATGTCACTGGAAATGTTTTATACTTTTAAAAGTTTTAAAGAGAGAAAAAAAAAAAACTCAGCCTGAAGCCTTTGCAATGTTTCCTGAAGAGTTTTGCTTAACCTCAACCTGAAGGAGGTTGCTGAGAGAGGCATTTGAATATATCCAGGATTAATTTATTTTGTAGGTGTGGGTTATGTTCGGGATAACTGCGGTGTTGGTGTTGGTGGTGTTGGTGGTAGTGGTGTTGGTGTTAGTGGTGTTGGTGGTGTTGGTGTTAGTGGTGTTGGTGGTGTTGGTGTTGGTGGTGTTGGTGTTAGTGGTGTTGGTGGTGTTGGTGTTAGTGGTGTTGGTGGTGTTGGTGTTAGTGGTGTTGGTGTTAGTGGTGTTGGTGTTGGTGGTGTTGGTGTTAGTGGTGTTGGTGGTGTTGGTGTTAGTGGTGTTGGTGGTGTTAGTGGTGTTGGTAGTGTTGGTAGTGTTGGTATTGGTGGTGTTGGTATTGGTGTTAGTGGTGTTAGTGGTGTTAGTAGTAGTGGTGTTGGTGTTAGTGGTGTTGGTGTTGGTGGTGTTAGTGGTGTTGGTAGTGTTGGTATTGGTGGTGTTGGTATTGGTGGTGTTAGTGGTGTTAGTGGTGTTAGTGGTAGTGGTGTTGGTGTTAGTGGTGTTGGTGTTAGTGGTGGTGGTATCTGTGGTTTTGGTGGCTTATTAGTCAGGAAACAGGACAAGCGTTTCTGACACTTTTCAAATTAGGATCCATTGCTAGTTAAGCATCCTTTGGCTACCGGAGGTAGGACTTAAAGCCCCCAAAACACCCACGGATCACTACCTCTGATGACGATAATCTCAATGGTATAAAAATTACAGGTAAGGGAGCGTGAAAATTTTTGTAATGAGAGTCACATCAGACTTGATAATAACAAATTACCACAGACTACACTAGAGCCAGTTAGGTGCAATCCACAGTACAGGACATATACCCCGAGAGGTTTATGTCAGTGTATATACACTGGGATGAAGGTGTTCTTGTCTGTCGGTTAATAGGTTACATGCAGCCTTAAATGCCCATCGTGTAGTAGACTTGAAATGCCATTACGCAACCTAGCCACAATCCACTCAGACATTTACTTCGGTACCGTAATCTTTGATTAATAATTTAAACCATATTCTCCACGTATATGCACTGAAATAGACACAGTAGAGACCAGCCGAGAGACAGAGCCAGAAGCTGTGACTCGACCCCTGTAATCACAAGTAGGTAAGAACAAATGGGTAAGAACACTCTAGGTGTACATATCCGTTTCTTGATTTATAATGTTTACTTTAACCTTCTCTAGTTACCCAGCAACTTAATGAACTATATTCATCACTCATTTACATTACGCTGGCACTACGCATGAAATAAACCTCCATTCCGTCCAGTAATATAACACTTGTTACGTTATCTCTAATGAGGTATTTTTGTCCAGGATTTCAAAAATGCAAATAAATTAACATAGTCTAACCACTAAGATAATTTTGCATTTTTTTTTTCACATTTCTACATACTAATTCAGTGACTTTTCTTCATTTCCAGGAAAATATTAGTTTGTGGCAGAAAATTAATAGAAAACGACGGAAATATCTAAACTTAATTGTTGTATTTAATAATGAGTAAGGAATAAATACAGATATTGAAGATTTTTTTAATGGAAAAGTGAATGTTCGTAAATTTCAGCACCATTAGAGAAAAAAACAATCGAGCCTAAAACTGATAGCAGTGGAAATTAGTGAATATCAGTTTCTAGTCTACGAAGAAAACGTGACGCTGCGACGAAACCGCGACTGTGCAAAGAAAATGTCTTTGAAAATTAAAATGTAATGGCGCAAAGAAAACGTGATGGGACGAAGAAAATGTGATGGTATACGAAAAAGATGACAATACAAAGATAACGAGATGGTACCAAAAATATTATGTCATGTAACGTAACAACACAAAGGAAACGTGAGCAGTAGAACTGAAAATACCAACTAAAAGCAAGCAGTGAAACGTGGGGGAACCACATATGATACCCTGTATTAAGCAAATGAACTGATGTGCCAGTGTCGATCTAAACACAATGGGTAATCCAAAGTGGCACGTACAGCTATGAAAACATTCTGTATTCTCATATAAAAATAAACTCTATAAGCCGTGTGGTAAATTAATGCTGCTACTAACATGACCCAAAGCCACAAGTTATACTGGACAACAAAAGTAGCATATTAAAATATTATCCAGTTACTGAAATATTAGAATATTAAACAGCTACTGAAATATTTGAAATTTTTAATTCTGAGTGATAAACACTTTAAATTTACATAGGTGAAGAGAGAACTCAGCTACGCATTATGGTAGCAACACCACGCAGTCCCGTCCACCAGGCCACAGAGGATATACTATATTATTAAAACTGCATAATACGCTTTCAGGAACTTGAAAAGGATGTTAATTTTTGAACAGCCAACGAGGCGTGTATTCAGCGTCAAAATGTGGAAGTGGGCGTGGGTGTGGGCGTGTTTCTTCAGTGCCACGCCTTTAACCTCGTCACTCTTTGTCCCTGAAGCAGAGGGACAAGGTGCTGGCGCCACAGTAGTGGATGTTCTCAACCGCATGGTGCAGGTGAGTCACTCCTTTAAACTCATTATGGCACGAGTGCTCCTTTAATTCCATTATGGAACAGGTTATTATGGGAAGCGCTAAACTGTAGGGATTATACAGCGCCTGTGGGGGGAGGATAGAAAGTATTCAGGCTTAATTCAGGGAATTGGAGCACAGATCCAATTCCCTAGATCAAGAGCCCCTCACCAGCGTCCAGGACCCTCCCTTGCGGGCAATGGAATACGTAAATTCCCTTTAAACCCACTATCGTTCAGGTAAATCTCCCTTAAGCTTGTCATGGAACATGTACGTTAAATTTTCATTTAGATATGCTACTACACAGGTTGTATAAATGTTGGTAGAATTACTGACAGTATGTTAGGTAAAAGTACACAAGTGCAACTAATGTGACATTTTATTGTGGCAACGTTTCGCTCTCCAGGAGCTTTACCAAGCCGCGGCTTGATAAAGCTCCTGGAGAGCGAAACGTTACCACAATAAAACGTCACATTTGTTGCACTTGTGTAATTTTACCCAACATACTAAACAGGTGCATCCCGATCCTTAAAACTATCACCGTACAATGAGACCTCCCTTAGTCCCCTGTGTTTCAGATGAGTTCCCTCTTAAAAATCATCATTGTACAGTTAAGGCCCTCAAAGGGTCAATTTAACACGTATATACTTCATTAAGAATCCAGAGCTTCCTCTAGGTAGGAAACACCGGCATCCAAAGTGTCAGTACTATCCTAATCCTCTCTGGTAATCGCATGGGAAAGAGGCCTTCTATTTTCAATGTAAAAAAAATCGCAATTTTGACACAGTAACCATCGGACGCCTCGCTACTTCAGTTTTAAAATATTGGTAATTCGTCGCCATAACCACTGGATCCTTCATCTAAATAAGAAATGCAATTTTTTTGGGGGGTAGGGGGGTATTTTTGAAAACGTGAGAGATATTCTCCAGTTATTGTTGTCCTCAGCTTCGGGACCAACTGTCCCCAGGCCTAGCCACATTCCCCGCCCTCACGGGGCTCGTAGGGACAAGCTAGGCCTCTGGTTTGCCATCCGCCTCGCCCCAGGGGGGCTCGTGGGAGTGGCAGTCTTGTGAGCTGTAGGTGGTAGCAAGCTCTGGCTCTGGCAACATCCCCGCCCTAAGAGAGCTCGTGGGAGTGGTCATCTCCAGTGTTTGAACAGAATCCTAATTGGAAGAAAAAAGTCGAACACTGCTGGCATTTCCTTTCAGGATTATGCAATTGTACACCCAGGTAAATAAATCAATAATAATAATAATTGTTGTGAATTTTTAAGATTCTTTTGAGAAAAAAAAATCATTTAGACATGCTGAGCAATTTGACTTCTCTCTTTTGTGAACTTTAATGCATTTTGTGAGGCTTGATGGTTCATAAATTGTGTTCTTGACGAGCTCAACACTTAAATGGTGTATTTCCAGGATGAGGTCTCATTTTTTTTTATACTATTATTTTCTTTAGATATACTGAGCATCGACATGGTTTCCCTCCTGCAGAAATTCTTAGGTAATATATTAGTGCTGCTCTGTTTTTTGAGAAGATCTTTAGGCTCTCTGAACCCGGATGAGGTTTATCCCCCCTTTATGAATTCCCAAATGCTTAATAACAATGACTTTTCAAAACTGTCTCTGGATATTCTTAAAAAAAGAAATTGTATGGTTTTTCTTCTATAAAAAAAACACTTCCAAGTAATTTATTAGTGTTTTCTTTAATGATTATTAGGAAGTGGGAACACCTATATGGTTTTCCTCCGGTACGACCTAAATGTTTTATTTCTGTAGATTTTTTTCTGAAAAGCCCTTGAGACACTTCTCACACTGAAAGTTTCTCTCCATTATCGTAATGGAGAGAAACTCTCAGTGTGAGAAGTGTTTCAATGGCTTTTCATCAGCGTTGATTTTATTGCAAATATCTCGACACACAAACGCTTATACCGTGCCTTTCCTATATGAACTCATAGATGTTTTATTTTTGCCGATTTCTCTTGAGATAAAGGGCACAGAGGTGCTCCAAACACTGACAGGGTTTCTTTCCTGTGTGAACTCGCATATGCTTTATTATTGATTTCCTCCCGGGAGGGCATTTAGCCACTCTGAGCACTCTTTGTTTTTCTCCTGTATGAACTCTCGAGGGTTTTATTTACTCTAGTTTTCCTGATTCTGACCTTAGATTACCTGGCCACTGATATGTTATCTCTGTGAGCTTCCACGTACTTTATTAGTAACAGTATTTCCGAAGACCTTCACCCCTCTAGGGAGGTTCTTTGATGCCAGTGAGGGGCTCTTAATCCAACGTACTGAACTTGCCCTCCCTCTCATTAGATGGAATTTAAATGCCTCCCAGGCACTATATGACCCCTGTGGTTTAGTGCTTCCCCATAAATATATAATGATAATAATAATAATGAAGACCTTCAGACATAATGAACACCGATAGGGTTTTTATTCCAGCAACACCTGACTTGTTCCAGCAGCACTTGACCTTTTTCAGCAACATCTGACCTATTCCAGCAGAACCTGACAAGTTCTAGCAACACCTGACCTGTCCCAGCAACACCTGACCTGTCCCAGCAACACCTGACCTGTCCCATATCCCAGCACACGACTTCCAGCAACACCTGACCTGTCCCAGCAACACCTGACCTGTCCCAGCAACGCCTGACCTGTCCCAGCAACAGCCTGACCCATTCCAGCAACACCTGACCCGTTCTAGCAACACCTGACCTGTCCCAGCAGCACTCACCTCCATATACTGACAAGTCCTCAGTGGGTGGAACATCTTAATATAAAAGGTCGTCCTAGCTGAAAGGGGCTTTTAACCGCCAGCTATTTTCTCATAGCCATTCATTTAAATTCTCTGGAACACGAGCCTTGATCACCATCAAGGCACCTTCCTTGAAAGGTTGAAAAATATGAAATTATTGGTTTCCAAGTGATAACTGGAGAACGGCTCTTCTGATTAGCTTCAGACTTTCAGCTCTGGCGTGTTTCACATAAACAAAAGGGTTCACATTGCTCATTGGGCAAAGTAAGTCACACTTTGCCTCTTTTTCATAAATTGATCAAGTGGTTTCCATGCTTGAGAATGTTTCTTCTGATAGGCTTTAAACTCTTAATGCTGGTGTGTCCTACTGTCTCTTGGCACAGCAGTCAAGGTGATTTTTGTCATAACAGTGACACCCTTCATTATTATAACTATTGTATTGATGGGGAAGCTCTGAACCTGCTGGTGAAAGTGGAGAGCCTTGAAATATAAGGTGGTCAAGGTTTCATTCAGAGAAGAAGGTTGTAGTTCCAATTCTTCGTATCAAGAGCACTTTACCAGCATCAATGCACCCTCTTTGAAGGTTACTCCTCCTCCTCCTCCCTACACATCAGTCTCTTTGGCGAGTTAATTAAAACAACTCAACTGGAATAAATCTCTTCCTCAATCCTGGAGAGTGATTGCTGTCATATTTGTTGTGTTTGAATAGGTTTGGCTGTAGCTCCCGGGCCTCTTTGAGAGGTATTGATAAACTCCTTTGTCTCTCGCAGGTATTGAACTACAGTTGTTAGGTCTTTTGAAGGTGTTATGCTACAGAAACTAGGTTTCTCGAGGTTGTTCGTCTAAAAAATCATAGGCCTCTTGAATTTGATCTTCAACTTCTTGATCTAGAGAGTTGAGTTGTAGCTCACAAGTCTTCAAAGAGTCGAGCTGCAGTTGCCTCTTTTCATTAAGGATTCTGAGATACATGTCCTGGGCTCCTTGCGCGTGCGGACGTTCAGAGGGACGAGGTTGTATGTTATAAAAAATACTTTCTCGGATCCTGCAGCCATAGAAGTCTGTTTATTATTACTAGTATTATTCTATCATTAATATTTTTATTATTAGTATTAGTGATAGTAGTAGTCTACACTTAAATGACGCGAAAACTATGTGGAGTATGTCAACCGTAATTTATCTCACCACTAAAGGTTTATTTATTGCATCTATCAATTGCCCATCCTCACCATACATATCCCCGGCTGCAGGTGCTGGAGACGCAGGAGAGGCACACGGCCCTGTACGAGCGGGTGGCTCTGCTGGAGGAGACACTCAGCAAGAAGACCGAGACAGAGGTGAGGCTGGAGGCCGAGGTTTTGCAGTTACGTGCCAAAATTCCCACCTTGGAGGAGGAGATCAAGACAATCCCGGAGATGAGGAAAAGCGTAGCGGAGTTTGAAGCCAAGATAGAAAAGTTGTTTCGAGACTATGAGGCTAAACTGTCAACGCTGGCTGCTGAGGTTCTTCGTCTTAAGAAGAATGGAGGGAGAAGGAAGGACCTTCCTCCACAGAGTGACGGCATCGATGACCTCCCAAGGAAAGGTGGGTTTTAATTTCATATCTTTGGTTAAATTAAAACCTGGTAGTGTATCTCAGTCTGTTTAATACTAATAATTTTAAATGGAAATTGTTTAGTAATATCGTTACACACATTCCTCAGCATTCCAGACAATTTATTACTCTGTGATTCAAACTAAATTTCATAAACCCATCAGCAAACATTTACTCTTAAATATTTAATTATATTCACATTCTCCATCTTCCTACTTTCTAAACTGACCGTCAACCTTTTCATTTAAAACAAGTCTATTAACTGATCCCTGTTTTTGCTTCTGTGTTTATTTTCGACTGTATCTGGTATACATTTTTTCCATACTCTTAAACCAGATTTTTTAACTATAAAATCTCGATTCACGAATTCGTAATAACACGATTGCAAACCACGGAACAGGGGAAAGGAGGTGGGGAGGGATTGGGGGATAAGCACTGGCCTGGCGTTTTATGACCCACTCGCCATGGGTTCTAACCACACAGGTCCCGTGGGGGCTAGAACCCACACGGTTATCAGCAATGCTGTCATCCTCGACTTTATGCCAGATTCATCATCTTTTAAGACTACATCATCCCTTGAAAAATGAGCCCTCCTTTCCTTTACAACCGAACGTAGAGAGAGATTAAATATCCACCTCGACATCACACTTCAACATAAGGCTCACTTCAACTGGAATATGTTCAATTTCTTTCCTACACACTGAAACTCGAGCCTCTCCGAAAAAAAAAAAAAAGTCTTAGCTGTATATATTTATATATACTATGAATCTGCAACACAAACCACATCACTTCCCAATCCGCTCTGCTTCATGCGTTTTCCAATTATCTAAGTGTAACAGATACCTTCTCCACATGATCTAGCTGCCGCTCGTTTACGTGCTTCTGTACAAACACTAGAGCCAATCATCCCCATCCTTTCTTAAACCCATCTTGTTCCTCTGCAAATACACTTTATCTTTGCCATCACTTGATAACATACCATCACACACTAAAATACTTCACCACATACAAGGAAAAAAAAGAGTGGAAAGGGAGGGAAGAAAGGAGAGAGAGAGAGCAGAATGAGGAGAACGAGGCAGATGAGAAGTAACTAATTATTTTCATGGAGGTAGGAGGGAGGAAGGAAGGGAGAGGAAGAGGTGGGATGGGTTAGAAAAGGAATGAAGCCACTGAGTCATAATAGACTGGGTATCAATTAATCGAAAGGGTTCCCATGAGAGCAATACAATGCGAGAAGGCAACGTAAGACTCGCTACAACACAGACCTCAAATAATATCTTTATTTCTACAAGTACATATACAAGATATACAGGCCTGACATCAGTGACATAGAAGCCCCTTGTTATGGAGAACATTTCGGGCAAATAAGGTCAACTTTGTCTCAGGATGCGACCCACATCCTAATGTTTTTCCAGCCGTACCCGGGACCGAACCCCAGACCACACTATGTGAGGAGTGCGCGGTAGCGATCGAGCTACGGGACTCCTCACTGAAAATTCACATTTATCCTAGGCGTCTGGTGGTGGTACAGAATACTTCAACACCCTGAAACATCCATTGCAACAACTCCCTTTCAGAGAAAAACTAATATTTGATATTTTTTATAATTATTTTTGCCATCAAAGCTTGTAAATTTGTAATGCATCTTCAGTATGTACATATATTACTTATAGAATGAAACATAAATGAGCATTATGTTATTACACTTCTGTTAGAACTATCAGTTCTACCAGCACTGCTATCAGTTCTACCAGCACTGCTATCATCAGTTCTACCAGCACTGCTGCCATCAGTTCTACCAGCACTGCTATCAGTTCTACCAGCACTGCTGCCATCAGTTCTACCAGCACTGCTACCATCAGTTCTACCAGCACTGCTATCATCAGTTCTACCAGCACTGCTGCCATCAGTTCTACCAGCACTGCTATGAGTTCTACCAGCACTGCTGCCATCAGTTCTACCAGCACTGCTGCCATCAGTTCTACCAGCACTGCTGCCATCAGTTCTACCAGCACTGCTGCCATCAGTTCTACCAGCACTGCTGCCATCAGTTCTACCAGCACTGCTGCCATCAGTTCTACCAGCACTGCTGCCATCAGTTCTACCAGCACTGCTGCCATCAGTTCTACCAGCACTGCTGCCATCAGCTATCAGTTCTACCTCTGTTACAACAATAACATATATAGCCACAAACACTACCAGTACTACCAGCACAGCTATTAACCACCAGTCCCACTACCACTTACTACATATGCTATTACAGATACCACAACCACTAATACTACTACTGCTGCTGCTATTACTATTTTTATTATTCCCACTAGTACTGCTATTCCCATCACCAGTACTACCCCCACAAAGAATAAAATTCACAATATCTCTGCAACAACAATTCACAACTCACCCACAAATTGGAAATGAAACAGATTATGCTTCGGTTCGTCTTGAACCGATCAGATAATGGTGTAGGACAGACCGAAATGCCATTTAATCTATGAATAATACCACTGCAACAAAAATAACTAATGTTTTAATTATTTCCAACACCACAACTGCTACCACAGGAGACTGCAAGAAACCATACGCAGGCCAACCAGTTGAGCACAGATTTTAGCAGAATTGAATGTCAAGTTTTTACCCAGTAACAAGAAAGAGAAGAGGGCTGGAGTAGGCCTCAAGGCCCATGAAGGCAGTTCTTACTCACACCAGTGCATCTCTACTTACGTCCTTGTCTGCCTTACAAGCTACCCGATTTGTCTATATTAAACTGCATCTGCCACTTCTCCGACCACTGCATCAGTCTATTCAAATCTTCCTGGAGTGCTCGAATGTCCTCGTCAGAATGAATTCGACGGCCTATTTTGGTGTCATCGGCAAACTTGCCGATGTCGCTCTTTATGCCCTCATCTATGTCGTTTATGTAGATTGTGAACAGCAGGGGGCCCAACACTGACCCCTGTGGAACACCGCTCGTGACGCTTCCCCACTCTGATTTCTCCCCATTTATGCAAACTCTCTGCTGCCTATTTGTCAACCATGCCTCTATCCAGGAAAAAATTTCTCCTCCTATTCCATGTGCTTTAATTTTCCTCAATAGTCTCTGATGTGGGACCCTGTCAAAAGCCTTACTGAAGTCCATATACACAATATCATATTCATTACCATGATCTACCTCCTCAAATACCTTAGTGAAAAAAGTTAATAAATTCGTAAGGCAGGAACGCCCCTTTGTAAAACCATGCTGAGATTCGTTGATTAATTTATGCTTTTCAAGGTGGCTACGAACTGCCTCGGCAATTATTGATTCCATAAATTTTCCCACTATGGAGGTTAGGCTTATTGGTCTATAGTTCGAAGCTAAGGACCTGTCACCTGTTTTGAAAATAGGTATCACATTTGCCATTTTCCACTTATCTGGCACCATGCCAGTTTGTAGTGATATGTTGAAAAGATTAGCCAAAGGTGTGCTAAGCTCCTTTTTACATTCCTTTAGAACCCTTGCATACAGTTCATCAGGGCCTGGGGATTTGTTAGGTTTTAATTTATCTATTTGCCTAAGGACCATGTCACTTGTGACCCTAATAGTACACAGTTTATTATCGTCCTGTTCTACATAATTTATCATTACTGGAATATCGCTGGTATCCTCCTGTGTAAAAACTGAGAGGAAGTATGTGTTAAAAATTCTACACATTTCCTTATCACTGTCAGTGAGCTGACCCGAGGAACTTTTGAGTGGGCCTATCTTGTCCCTGATCTTACTTCTGTATACCTGAAAGAATCCTTTTGGTTAGTCTTCGATTCTCTTGCAACTTTAACCTCATAATCTCTTTTTGCTTTTCTAATTCCCTTTTTTATTTCTCTCTTTAACTGAATATATCGATTTCTCAATTGCCCCTCTCCTCTTTTGATTTGCCTATATATGCCTCTCTTTTGACCAATCAGATATTTTAATCTATTGTTCATCCATTTAGGATCATTTTTGTTTGATCTGATTTCCCTATTTGGAACATAATTTGACTGAGCAGCTAGAACTATGCCCTGGAAAGCATCATATCGGCAACCATCACCACCTACCTGACCCTTAGTCAGGTCATTCCAGTTCAGCCCACCTAAGTAATTTTTCAGTCCTATGAAATCAGCCAAGCGAAAGTCAGGGACGGAGACTTGATTGCCATTATTAGGGGAATTCCATGATATATTAAAACTGAGTGATTTGTGATCACTTTCCCCAAGCTCATCATTAACCTCAAGATTATTAATTAGTGTTTCCCTACTGGCAAGAACCAAGTATAAACAACTGTGTTGTGAAATCAGTGCTTTCCCATAAGTTATGGCTGGGTCGAGACATTCTCCGCGCCCCTTGTCTGAATTCAGAGATTCAGTCCTCCACTGTTACACACTTTCATGCCTCAGCGCTATGGCTGCAAGAAACAGCCATGACAACAGTGGTTGAAGTATAGCGTCGCTGACAACTAATTCAAGGACACAGCCAAAGGAGACCTTTATTGGTACGACTTTATTGAGCGATGCAGTCTCACGTAAGCGAAACTTCTTTCTAAGGTCTCTTTCTGATGTTTCTTTTTTTTACAGCCATAGAAACACTTCAAGGGGATAAAGACGAATATAATATATATGGCTGAAAAAGATTTCATTGGTACTAAGTTTCACTCATTGTTGAGTTTAATCGAGTCATTTCTCTAACCTGAGAAAACATTGTCAACAAAAGACTTTCTACAACTTGGGGGTCAATACGCAATTTCCCCCCCCCCCCACAATATTGGCAGCTACTGCTGTAGCTCATAAAAAAGGGGATGAAGAGCTCAGATTGCTGTCTAAAAACAGACATAAAATCTTTTACTACCATCCCCATGGTCGACCAGCTGTAAACCCACATGGTGGGCCGGCTGTGACCCCCACATGGTCGGCCAGCTGTGAACAAATCCTCCTCGTTCTCCACTCGTGGCTTTTCTGAAGAATTGGCTGAGGTC